TTGATGGGGGATAACATGGGAATGCAAAGTGCTTCACAAATGAACAGTAGCCAGCGGATTGCCTCTTTTATATTAGTAGGGATATACACTTTTTGGCATAAATTAATCTGAAGCATTAAATTACACCTTTTCAGATTGAGACATGATCCACAGTTGAGGTCACACCTTTTATTAAGGTTCATGACTTTTCATTTTGCACCTCATTAGATAGTTGCACATAATCCAAAAAATCACGATTCTTCAATATGCACCTTTTGCATTTAAAAAGTCACGGACCAATTGAAATCTTTTTCAATTTACACCTATTAAAATTATTAAATCTCATCTATTAAAATCATTAAATTTCAATAGAGAACATAATTTGAACTGTTGTGTTCTCCAATGGGATGATCGTGCATTCCTAATGTAACAAATTTCTCTCTTTTTTTCCAACATTACTGTCAAGGTAACAGTATAATTTGAATTAGGTAACATGTTTATTCAACTCTCAAGGTTACCTTTAGTGCATGTTCGATGGTAACCCATTATTAAGAAGAATAGATAGCATTAAGAAATGAATAAAATCACTTTCTAGTTTCTAGTCAATGTATAGTTGTTTAGAATGTAATGAATTAAGGGAGATAATATATTTTGTAATAGTGATTTTTTTTGGAGAAAATATAATTGAAAAACATAATCAAGTTTTGAGTACGTATAAAATTATTTTATTGAGAACATATGTTTCAAATATATGTTTAGATCCATGAGCATAATTAGTTGTAATAGATGAAACTTTTTTGAGTTTCAAGTAGGGGCATTATTGTCGTGATACTGAAAATAATTAAATATTTCATGTTCTTATAGAAGAGCCACTGTTTCTTTCTCATTCTTTTTTTATATACTTATTTTCAACTACACATTTACGCAATAAAATATTTGAGATGTAAATCTAAAACTTTTTCGTACTTTTCAATCACACATTTTCTAAAAAAATCACTATTTAAAACAATATTTTTTTTTCCAAAAAATGGCCTTCAAGTAGGGGTGTGTATAGGGAAGTCAATCCCGTGGTTCGACCCGTAAAAAGTTCAAGCTGGCTCGACTTGCGGTTTGGGCCGAGCCTATTTTCGACGACGATGCTGGTGGCTCGACCAGCTACATGGGTCGACCCTGCTTCAAGTAGCAGTTGTTGAGCTGCCTGCTTGAGCATCAGGCAGGCAGTTGCTTGCATGAAGCAGCTTCATAACATCTGGCAGGCAGTTGATTACCTCCCTATGTGTATATGCAGCCTCCAAGACGTGATTAATTAATGCATTTTTTAAGCCAATTAGCAAATAAAATAAAAAAAAGCTTTCTCCTCTACCAGAAGTCAACATTCTGACGTCAACGCGTTTCCCTGTAATCATTTCAATACCCAATACTTTACTAACATTCGACGCCCATTTGTTTCGAATTAAAATTAAAGTCAAACAATTAATATTAATCATATCTTTCATGAATCTCATAACTTTTCAACTACACATTTCAAAAACTTCTATCATAATCTACTTAAAACCTAATTTTAATCACCACCAAACACCGACTAAATAAGGAAGAAAAACGTTAATAACAACACATCAAATCGAATAGATTAATTTCAATCTCATATAACTATATCATTAAGCCCATATTTTGTTTTTTAACCGAACATTTTCTCTCGAACAATCTTAACCGATATCCCACAAAATGAGTTAATTGAAATTTTCAAGGCATGGCGTTTTAGGCTTAGTGAAATTAACTATTTTGATAAGTTAAAGGAGAGGACATCGGAAAAACAAATTTTTATTATGCTAAAATTATTGTATAAAGTAGTATTCGTGAATGATAATTATACCCACATAATTATAGATTTTATTATCATTGTATCCCTACTTCTTCTCTGTAAATATGAGATATTGATTTTTAATATAGTACACACAAGTCTATTAATTCCTCTAAATTTCTCTCTAGTTTATAATACGTTATAATCTAGTATTTGTGAATGACAATTATACCTAAGTAGTCCTAAATTCTATTTTACCATTGTATCCCCCACTTACCTAAAAATATGGGGCATTGATTTTTCTAATTTTCTCTCTCTATTTTATAACAAAAATAACAGTTATTTACAGTCAAAATTTCTACGGAATACACTCGACAGTTTTCTATTGGAAAATGGCAAATAAATAAATGACCAAACTCACGGAATGTATTTTTTGTCGATTTACATCTATTGGTTCACGTAAAGTTAAAATAAAACTTTATCTCAAAATCAACATACAAAAAATTTGTGTGCTAACGCATACCTCCCTCCCTCAGGAGGTAAATTATTAGAATTCAACGAATTCCATGTGTAGTTTATGCTGTTATTAATATCAAAAGGAGGAATGCCCGTTAATCACGGTTTGATCCATATTTTCTAATTCCAACCCGTGAACTATAAATTAATTAACAAAATTCGGCCGTTAAAACGATTCCACATACGCCTCTCCCTCACCTCACTACGCACGCCGGTGAACAGTCCACCGCATTACCAACAAAGAACTCAAACAAAACACAAATCCAAAATCAAACACTCTCTCGGCACGACGCCGTTTTCACTCTCCGGCGACGGGAATTCATATGGAATTCTCCGACGAGAAGTCATCGGATGCCAAAGCTTGGAGCCTATTCAAGCTTCCATTCCGGAACCAGCACTCGACTACGACGTCTTCTTCTTCTGGTTTTGTTCATTACAATCAGCAGCAACAGAGTTACAATAATCATAATAATATTAACGATAATTCACAGGTGGAAGGACTAAAGGCTCATGGTTCCAGCTCGGTTTCTTCTGTTGCCAGATCTCTGCTCCCCACGCGACGTCGTCTTAAGCTCGATCCCGCTAGCAAGCTCTATCTTCCTTGTAACACCTCTCTCTTCTTCGTCTCTTACTTTCTGAAAATTGATCTTCAGTTGTTTTTACCATATATGTAGGTATTCGGTATACTTTGTATTAAAATTACTTTTGTTTGATAAAACTGCTTATTTACTTGAATTAAGCTCGATCTGGGTATGCTGTTGACAAGGATAGGTTCAATTTCTATGCTTTCTATATGAACTATACACGTATAAGGATAAATATTTTTGTTATTGTCATCGGTTAATGGCTATATATTTTGAAGATTTTTAGTGACAAGTTCTACAAAGAGAGAATTTTTACTTGGGATGATATTGAGTAGATCTAAAATGTTATATGTTGGAAAATGGTTTTTAATACTAGTGAAATGGGTCAACTTTGAGCCCAAATTTCAGTAGAATCCGTGCCTTAATTTCAATGGGACCTAGCATATTCATGTTCTACTCCGCAAGAGGATTAACGTGATATATTTATTTGTCGAAAACCATTTAGTATTGAATGAAATATTTAATGTCAAAGTAACCCGTTTGAAACACGAATTTGATTTATTAGAAAATTCTCATACACTTGTCCCACATAGGAAAGTTATGAAATTTTGATGTGGTTTATATAGTGTAAGGTTG